TAAGAACAAATACAACATAAAACACATGTACAACATCCCCCAGCAGCCACTGGGCTTGTCAAAGGCAGGGCAGGCATTAATTTTCAGGAATACATGAAAGTCCTGATGTCTGCCAGATGCCAAACTGAGGCATTCACCACTGATAATTATGGCAGATGAAATTTCACAAAGGAGGATCTGAAAGAGGACTGTGAAAGCACATAAATAAAGGGTAGCTAAGACTATAAACAGATGAGAAGTAAAAATACGCTTTAACACAGAAAATGAATACCACCAAGTGCCAGGAATAGGAACGAGCCTGAGATAATTGAAAAGGAGACTTGGGTTGAAATTATTTTGGGTTACAGCAGGGAAGGCAGAGATGTGGCCATTTCAATCAGTGGCTTGTCACAGGAGGTGAGCAGCCAGGGCAGCTGGACGCTGTCAACAGGACAGTCACATCACAGGCTGGAAGGACACAGCCTTCGTATTTCTGGGGCTACAAAGAACAGAAGACAAAGCAGACCCATTTCCTCAATCAAATGTATTTTTTCCTCAGCTGTTTATGTGTTTTCACAGTTCCTATACAAAGTACTTTTTGTCTGATCCCATTTGCCTTTTCTAAGGCTGAAATACATTGGTGGCTAAATACATTAATAATCCCGTGACTAATACACCTGACTCTCTCCACTTGTCATGCCCAACCAAAGCACTCCTCAAGCAGAAATTCCTGTTACTCATCACTGCTATTGAAAACTGAGGCAAAGCATTCATTTAATTTTCCATTCATACTTAGATTATCTTTAATCTTCACCATAACCTTCCTACTCAGCAGCCCCATTTCTTTCCTTGTCTTTTATTTAGCTTGCTTATGAATCACGAACTAAATAAGGTACACCTGAATTCATCTCTTATTCCTAAATTCATTTCATTCTTCCTGCATGACATTATAAAACCTCCTCTGAACTGGTAATGCCTCTGAGCTTTATGTCATCAGCAAACGTTATTAGTGCATTCTTATTTTTGTCCTCAAGTCACCAGTGATATTAAATAGTATCTCTATGAAAATCAACACTGCCCAGAGTCAGCTCCCCATGCACAGCATCCAGTTTTTCTAATCCCTAGCATCTTCATAATCACCATGTTAAGCAGTTTACTGAATGACCTCCAGGTACATGTGATCTATTGCTTTTTTGTTGTAGAGGAAATCACTCATCTAACCAAATAGAGATATCTAACATATTCTGTTTTTATTAAAAAGAAGTTGACAATTATCCCATTTTTCATTTACCTCCAGGTCTTTCATGAGTCCCTCATTCAAAATACATTATAAAGCTTTACGTAAGAGCTAGAATTAAATCAGCAAGCCTCTATTTGCCTAGTTGTTGGGTTTTTTTCTCTTTTAAATACTGGTTTTATACTTGCTGCTCTCCAGTCATACAGTACCTCTCCTGACTCTACGCTTTTATTTCAAATCTTTCCTGCTAAGTCTACAATATCATGTGCCAGTTCGTTCTCAGTGCCGTGATGGGAATGAAGCTGTCCCAGCTGTCTTGAGCCCCTTGATGTATCTGAATCTTGTTTCTGTCACAAGAATGGCATTTTCTTCTTTGATACCTCCATTCACACTGATCATCCTGTCTTTGACCCCCCACTCAATATCCTCTTTCTTCCTGAAAACTAAAGCAAGAGATACGTTTATTCTTGGGCCATACCTATCTTTTATACCCAGCTTATCCTTTTTACAGTGGCCCTACTTCTTCTATGATGATTTACTTAAAAGACTGAAAAAAACATGTGATGATTTCTTACTTTTACATTTTTCTTGATGTTGGAAAAAGTAATTTTTAAGGTGCCAGAAGTGAAATGTTACATTATAACTATTGCATTTGATTTGCCTTAGCAAAGTGGTGACCTTTCTATGACAGTCGCTCCTATGAAGTTTGCAGGATGAGCGTGTGATCTTGCAAGGCAACGTTAATATTTAAAGGCAACACCAGTCTCAGAAAGGCTTTTCCATGCCATGACTGGCTCAGATGGCAGGATCCACAGATGGAGGATCAGTTAACAGTGATACAAAATCGAGAATAGCTTCGTTAATCTTTACTATGAGCCATATCCCTTGAAGTCAATAGAGTTATTTCAGTTTTATACCACCATACACTGCAATAAGAGCCTGGCATCGTTTTTCTCCCTCATAAATGGTGATGATTGCTTTTTAAAATATTCATATCTTCATCTTATTCACGGAGCAAATATCTTAAGTTGCCATTTAGCTTTGAAATCCACGCTAATGTTCCTATATTTGGGGCTGGCCTTGTGCCATATGTTCATAGCATTTCGGCCTCCCAGATGCACACTGAATTTTATTCCCTTTTTCACCCACGAATGCCTTCTTTTCTGTCTTAGCGGTGATGACTACGCTCTGTTCAAGACCCTTATCGACTTTAGCGGGAAAGAG